AGCTCCAGTGTTACCAGCTCAACCGTGCAAAGCCTACCTCATGTTTACACTTATGCATTTAAGCCAGTGACCCTTTTATTTTTACTTTGCTGTCTGTTCATCAGTATTAAGACTAAAAGGGGAAAATGGTTCTCTGCTTCCAGCTCTTGGGCTCTGTTGTGGTTTAGGCCTGATTGGCAGCCAACCACAATGCAGCAGCTCTCTCTCCCTTCCCCTCCGGCAATGAGAAGGGACAGAGAGCCAGGCTTGGGGTTCAAGATAGGACTGGGATGGGGAAAAATCCCCCTTTTATGATCACGAGCAAAAGGCAGACTTGTTAGGGGAAGAAAAAAAAGAACATACGTTTATTACAGACACTAACAACACATACCAGAGTAGGACAGTGAGAAGCATTGCCACATCTTGAGAACACCTTCCCCCCACCCCTCCCTTCTTCCCGGGCTCAGCTCTGCTCCCGATATCTCTACCTCCTCCCCCAGGGGCGCAGGGGCAGGGAATGGGGGATGCAGTCAGCTCTGCCACTTCCTTCATGTTTGGTGAGGGGAGTGTCCGGAACTTGTTCCTCCTGCTCCATCGTGGTCCCCCTCTCACAGCAGACAGTCCTCCACAAACTTTCTCCGACATGAATTCCTCCCATGGGCCGCAGCGTTCCCCACACTGCTCCATCATGGGTCACCAACTTTCTCCGACTGGATTCCCTCCCACAGCTGCAGCCCTTCCCGAGCTGCTCCGGCGTGGGACACCCCCACATGCTGCAATCCTCCCAGCGCTGAATTACAGCAGCAGGGCTGCCTTTTCCCATGAGACCCCGGCCTTCTTCGGGCACAGCACCTTGATCAAGCAAGCAGGAGCCACAGGCCATAAATCAATGTCTGCTCCACCGTAGATCTTCATGGGTGGCAGGGGGGGCCGCCCTGCCGTCTCCCCACAGGATACAGGGGGGTCTCTGCTCTGGCACACCTTCCCCCCCCCCCCCCCTTTCTTCCTCCGTTCCTCCACTGACCTTGGTGTTCACGCAGCTGCAGCAACTCCTCCTCACAAGTCCCACTGCACATCACCACGTCCCTTCTTAAATATGTTATCGCAGAGGCGCAGCTGATGGGCTCAATTTCCCAAACAAGTGGAGCTGACGTGGAGCTGGGGGAGCTTCGAGAAGCTTCTCACAGGGGGCCGCCCCGATAGCCCCCTCCCCTGCCACCAAAAAACTCCACCACTCACTCAATCCAGGACAGGCTCATTACTAGAACATCTTCTAGCTGACAAGAAAAGCAACTGAGATTGCTTGCTTCCTCCCTGCAGCTGGGGCTGGAGCACACCCATGGCAGTGGGAGCTTTGGAACACTTTGCTCTGAGTCTCAGCAAGTCCCCTTGGGCACATGCAAACAGATTATCCAGGCAAGGGTGCACTGATTTTGTTTGTTTGCCCCTTTTTTTTTAGGGGGGTAGCGGTTCTGGCGGAGATCAAAAGGCACACAGCCACACAAGGAACCCATAGTCCAGGTTTCCAGCCCTTCATTGTCAATAGAAGATGCTGAAATAACCTAGTGAATGCAGCACAATTTTTCTAGCTTTTTCACCTGTGCTGGCTGCATCCCCTCCCAGCCTCTTGCCCACCCCCAGCCCACAGGCTGTTGGGGCAGAGTGGGGAACAGAAGGCCTTGAGGCTGTACAAGCACTGCTCAGCAATCACCAAAACGCTGGTGTGTTAGCAATGCTGGTTTAGTCGCAAATCTAAAAGCTGGCACCATATGAAGACAGTTGACTCCATCCCAACCAGGTGCAGTCCATAGTCAAAGATGGACTGAAGTTTTCAGTCCAGAGCTATGACGCCTGTCATGGGAAAATGAAGATCCATGTGGCCCTCTGGGAGTACTTGATTTCCAGTGCTGAGACTTTGTGAGGAGGATGCCTTCTTATCATTAAGGCTGTGATGATGGAAACTGCTGTCTGTTGAAGTTCAGATGAATGTGGGCCTTGCAGTCTTCAATATTAAAGTTAAAATTCACCTCAGTGTTTTCATTTAATGAACGGTAGGAAGAGAAAGATTTCTGCCTTCATGCTTATATCGTGGCATAGTGAAAGACATTCATACAGCGTAATGGTGGACTTTGCCAAGGTATCTGTTTTCTGTAATGTTGCTTTCTCTGGCTACATGCATAAGCATTTTGCAGTACTGATTAGTTCATATTGCCCCTTGTGTTTCTCCATGCAGTGCTAAGATCAAATATTGCTTGTTTGATCTTACAAAGCTGGCTTAGATTATTAATAAAATTATTCCAGTCTTAAAATGTATGATTTAACACCTGAGCGTAAAATGACAGAGGTTTCTGCTTCTGTTTCAGTTTTATGTTGTTATGGCACTAATAATTCAAGAGCATGGGAAACAAACCTGTGTCTGAAAGGGTGTTAGAACTGTAAAACGGAGCCTGCACCATCATGTACCTCAAGCCCTCCCTTGTCCTCCAGGGCAGTATCCTCTTTCCTCCCTCCAATCATCAGTGCTATTAAAAAAAGTCACAAATAGCATTCTCCCTTAAAGTAAAATTAAAAAATAAAGTTCCTCCACTATGACGACACTTGTTCAGTAGACTACAAACTGAAAGCCAGAAACTATAATCTTTGCAACAAAATAATATCACAATAAATCACCACAGAAGGTGGTCTTCAGATCAAAATATGGAGACATAGCTAATAAGGAGTAAAAAAATACTCTGTATGTTCATTGGCTCGTAGTGCCTTTCCCTTACATCCCATCAGATATTTTTCAGAAGCAAATTAGCCTGCCATTGTGCTCTCACCCAGTAACTTTGGACACCGTTGACCAATATCAAGCAAAAACTGTAGAAGATAACGTTGATGGCTGGTTTGAGATGAGAAAAATGACGAGTCCTTTCTTCCCCCAACACTGCGGCAAAGGCAAGGAGATCTCAGCCCTCAGGTTAGCCCACAAATTAGCATCCATGTGGTTCCCAGCTGGCCACAAGAGATGCTGACTTGCACCCTACCAGGAAACTATGTGGGATGAAGTTAGGGTGCTGTATTTGAGCCAGGGAAGATGTGGGTCTGAACAGGGGATGCTGTAGAGAGGTTGCTGATGGCAGTGGTGGGGCAGCATCTCTTTGGAGGTGTTGGATGCACTTTATCAGTCTTACTGCTTATATACAGTACTTCTCTGTCTGTCTGGTTCTTTAATTATTTAACTACATTGATTAAAAAAAATACGTCTCTTGTGCTTTAGAAGTACAAAGACTGTCCTGAATCTCAGGCACTGCAGAAAGAAGGTGCAGTGTTGCTAGAAGTAATAGAAGAAGCCTAGGCAAGGAGAATTTATTGCAGGATTCAGCTTTAAACTGAACCAAAATTAAGTTTGACAGAGAGAGGTGCTTATTCATGCTCAAAGACGTAAGGAACTAGAAAGAGCAGGACCGATACAAACCTGAAAGATGTTGTGTAGTCCATAATATTCTCTCAGGAGGACTTTGAGGAACAGACCAAACAGTGTAGATTGGAAATAACAGGCTGTCCTTACCCAATGTTGGTGGAGGTTTTGATATCCCAAGAACAAGATTAAGACACAAACAAGGTCAAATGCCGCATACTAGAAACAGCTTTTATTATCAAAAGTGAAAGAGGTAACTATAGGATAGAATGGGAGGAAAAGGCAGAAATCAAGCAAGCAGTTGGAATAGGATAGTCACCACCATGGATCCATGGCATCCAAGTCTCTCGGTGCTTGGGTGGTGCACGATGAGGCGATCTTAAGGGGCTCGTCTCAACAGCCCTTCTTATCCCCATTTGAGGCTGTGGTTTCCATGACAATGACACAAGAATTCGGCTCCTCCTCATTTCTGCATATGCACCGGGATGTCTTGCAGCTGTTGGTGAGATATCTCTCACCAGTGGTGTCTTTGTGGCCTTGCAGCAGATGCTTTTCACAGGCCAGATATCTCTGGTGCCAAAATGTTCTTCGCAGGTATCTGGCTGCTCTTGGGAGGTATCTCTCACCAGTACTCCCTCTGTGGCCTTGCAGGCAGGCAATCTTTGAGACAAACCACTCAAGACAAACAGTTCATAGTTTAGTCTCTCACACAGGCTATAAATACAGTGGATATGAATGAAGACTAGGATAAATACTCTTATCTATGCATGCAATCATTCTGCAAGTCCCAAGAAAAAAGAATGCTCTTAGACCCCAGCAGGAGATAGACTGTGGCCCACAGTGCAAACTCATCTTCTAGGACTTTTAATTAGAACAAAAAAAAGTTGAAAATATTTGATAGGCATAGTGGGCTTATTCTGTAGGTGGATGAAAGTTTTCCTAATACAAGCCATCAGGACGGTAACAATAGCTCTCAGTTGATGGAAAAGGCATTTTCCTTTGAAGAGTTATCTGCAGAATCCTAACTGGATCTGGCAGTACACTTTACAGGAAACTTCTGCAAAACTGTCCATAAATATAATGTGTAAGAGATTCATGTTCCTTGCTGTACTGCTTCTTAGTACAGGAGGAAAAGACAAATTGAAATCATCATCCAAATATTAATAATCCCTGTGTCAGTAAAACAGCAAAAGTCATCTATTTCCAAATATGAGAAAATACCAACACAGTGAGAAAAAGACAACAGAAGACCACAAAAATCATATAGGTAGAAAAAAACGCAGTTTTTTTCTGTTCGTTATCACCACTGGCTTGCCAAGGCCTATTGACAAAAGGAAAATTGTCTGATCTTATCAGCGTGGAATAATTAGTTCAGTGGCAGTTATCCTCGAGATACATCAGGGGTTGTTATACATTTGTAATTTGTCAAGCTCCATAAGCAAATGTCTTTTAATGCCATTTGCAGTTTGGGTTCAATGATGCCATATTCAGCAGGTTGCTGTTATTTTAAACTTTTCTGTGCAGTTCCAATCTCCAGTGTATTAACTTCATAATGATTTTGCCATATTGGAATCTGTTTGATAAATTGCTGTGACTGATAAATTGGCTGTTGTCTGTTCAGACAGCTGCTCAGAGGAAAATACCTGCAAGGAGCAGCATTATGGCTACAAGGAGTACCTACAGGGAACAGCGTAAAAAGCCTGAAGACCATCTGCTCCATAGAAGAAGCTGTCTGGATACGAGCATAAATATCGCATGTTAACATCAAACATGTTGGAGATCGAGCTGGCTTGGCACAGACCTGCACAGCAGAGGACCAAACGTGGCTGTCTCTGGTCCCGTCTGCTTCACCTGGGGGCAACTCCACCAACTGCAATATAAACGGGCAGCTCAGCAGAAGAGCCAACAAGAGAAGCTTTTTGTAGGTAAACCTGCTCTTGCTCCTCAGTGTTTCTGCTCTGCACCTCACGCAACTAACTATGGCTGAACCTGTTCTGATGTACAAGTACAACCAAAGCAAATTTCTTTTCTGGTAAGACCTTAAACAGCTACAGGCAAGACTTAAACATGCATGAGTCCCTAAGCCTTAGATTTTAAAATGCTGTTATGACAAAAAGATACCCTTTATAGAAAGGGTATGGGGAAGAGAGCTTGAATAAAGCACAAAATTATGACATGCTTTAATATTTAGTGGTGACTATATATACAAATAAGGTTTGTTCTAAGGGTTTAATGGCTCTGTAAACTTTGTTGATTTTGTGGTATTAGTGTTGAAAGACATCTTTATACTCTGCTATAACAAAATATTCGGGGTAAGTCAGTGCTGTCTCTCACGTAGGCATATTTTGAAAAAGCTTCACCTGATATAATGAACAGTATGAAAGAGATGTTTAGTAATGACCGTATCCTGAGGATACTTGTACTAGATTTATTTGTGAACACTAGTCCCAGAATGCTTTTGACTTGTATTAATTTGTCACTGAGGTGATAGGTTTTCGTACACAGCGTAAAGAAAGGCTCTCAGGGAAAAAAAAATGGAGTAAGATGAGAAGTCCCACTGCTGTCTGGTGGGGATGCACTCTGTGCTGGGTTGGTGCAAGTGGCTTTCAGCTTTTCTGTGCTCCTGGGGTGTTTTGTTGCAAGGGAGATAAGAAACTGCAGAGAGTTTTCTGCCGTGTTTTGATGAGAACCTCACTTACTCCACTGGTCTGTGAGTTGGAAACAGAAGGGTCAAATGCATAGTCAACGATGACTAGATGTATGGATGCTAGAAGTGCAAGTGCTCTTTCTTATACAGAGCTGGTTAGAGGTCTTCCTAGGATTTCAGCAGAATAAAACCCTGTTGTCTTTCTGTAGCATTGTCTGCTTTGTGACTCTTTTGTGGTTATACACATTCACGATTAATTCTGATGTGTATACAATTTGCAGAAAGTGCAAAGTGGATTGAAAATGTGCCGTTAGAAGTTTAAAGCTTCTCTTTCGAAAGATTAGTGGTGACTGAGAGGTCAACCGCTTGATGAATAAACTTGAAATTAGCAAGCAGGTATGTTTTTTGAGGACTCCTTGGTCTAGTCAGGCTGAGATGTCCCTTTCATTCTGACTCTAGGCAATGTCTTAATGAGAGAGAGTCTGGGAAGAAATCTGTTGGGTAAAACATTGTAACAGCATGCTAGTGTTTTCTTATTTGGTTAATATGATGCACATGTGATTTTTTTTCAGCTAAGAGGTATATAATTTGTATTGAGTGTCAGTGGTAAGGTTTTGGCAGTGGGGAGGCCGCAGGGGGTGCCTTTATGGGAGGAGGAGACGCCCTGGCTCCAGCTGGGCCCAGAAAGCACCCATCACAGGACACAGCTGAGCCCACCACCCAAACTGGTGGTGCCTCTGGGAAAACATATTTAAGAAAGGGTAGAAAACATTGAAGTGAGAGAGGAGGATGAAACAAAAGAGTGAGAAACATCAGAGGGAAAGCCAAAGTTGGAGGAGCAGATATTTCCAAAGTGACTGCTGCCCATGGAGGACCTGCACTGGAGCAGATGCTTCCTCAGAGGGACTGCAGCCCATGGATGAGCCCATGCTGAAGCAGGTACACCCTCAAAGTACATGCAGCCCATGGAGGACCTATGCTGAAGCATATGAAAGAGCAGCAGAGAGAAATTGTTAGGTCTTGACCCCAACCCCCCGCGCTGCTTGTTGCCTCAAAGAAGGGACTGAGTGTACCCTGCAGTGGTAACAAGGTGGGAGGAGAGGTTCCTGGAGTGGTGGAGTGAAGCTGGGCTTGGGAATGGGGAAGGGAAAGTTTTTTCCCTGTGTATAAATGTTTGTTTCTTTTTTTGAAAGAAAAATCCAGATGACTACTCAAATATTTTTACTAACTGACACTGAATTAAATTAACTTCCCTGAGACAGGTCTGTTTTGCCCACACCAGTAATTGGTAAGCAATCTTGCTGCCTCTATCTCAACCTGAGTTTTCCCTTTATTTTCACTATTTCCTCCCCCATCCCACTGAGGGTTGGATGAGAAGGCCGTGGTCCACTGAAAATATAAGGTGGAAAATTGCTAATCCTTGAGGGATCAGTAAACTTTTCTGTGAGAGTAGTGCACAAGGAGGTGAAGAACATAAAATGCACTCCTTGTCCATGGCCAGAATGTTACGTGTCCTCCAATCTTAGGCATGCTTTAGTTCCCAGGATACCCAGAAGCTGTGACACCAGTGCTCAGTATATAATGTTACCTACAACCATTGCAAAAGGGCCATTTATTTCCTGAAAGGGAAACAATAGCAGAAGCATGGGCATAAAAAAATCATCATGTGATTGTATCTGTTCAGGGGTTGTTGAACTTGTTACACAGAGCTCAGAAAGTCCACAGTAATCCCAGACTGTGAGCTCACGTTTTCATACCCTTGAGGGTTTCTTTGTCATGTAGCAGTAGAGAAACCTCTACCAGGGGAGGGGATATCAGATTCTATTCCCACAGTTGACTGTCCACTTTTCCAGCAAGCAAAGAGCCCAAAAGAAATATCAGTTAGGGGTTTCTTCTCAAGGCTGTGTTCACCACTTCTCATCTTTCTTGGTGATCCAATTCTCCTATCCCTGTGTGAAAAGCATTTTAAGTTTCTCTCAACTAAAATACAGAGGTTTTCTTTTTGTTTTGTTTTTGTGGTGTAAGCAACACCTGTGAAATGTAAGGCTTTACAGTAGAGTGAATTGGACACTTAGGACTTTTACTAATTGGACACTTATGATTTTTACTAATGATAATTTATAGAGGCAACACTTACTAAATTAGACCAAATCATAGTGGTTGGAAATAGCACAGTGGGACAGAGCTCAGAAATGAGACACATCAGAATTGAGAAATGGACCAAGACTTCCTCCCAAAAATGAGCTTAACCACAAGTAACAAAGTAAGTATATCCACTTGCCTTACTTAGGATACTTGGCCTATGTATTCATGATAAAATTAGAGGAGAATTCTTCTCTGAAATAATTTTTCTCCTGTCCTGAATTCTGTTACTCCAGTGGCCCTTTCAACAGGGACAGGTTTCTAGTAAGAGCTTGGTGGTGGGGCAGGTTAGCCATCATCTCCAGGAGAGCAGCCACATGCTAGCAAGGTGCTATGACCCCAACTGGGAGCCCAGAGTCTCATAAAGGTTCTGTGCTCCCCTTGGGTTGAATTAAGGTGGAACACCACCAAACGACCTTTTAAAATGTTTGACTTGCAGTAGGAACAACTCGAACTTGGAAAATGATAGTAAGCAATGTGGTCTTTTATTGATAAATATCTAAGAAATAAAAGAAAGGGAAGAAAAGAAAATGAAAGGAAAGAAAAAGGGTCAAAGTATTCAGTTTACCACCCTGGGTTTCAACATTGTTTCAGGTCCAGTAGTCTTGGGTGGCAGGTGCACACACAGCAGTTTTCTGTCTCCTTTTAAGTTCATCTTATCAGCTGACATGCATACTAGGTAAAGAGAGTCAGACCTGGTTCCCAGTATTTATCTGTTTTACCAGACTCTTTACCCTGAACATATAGTTTCCTTTGAGGCTTATCTAAGGAATTTGACAATATAGCTCCAAGGAAGTGGAGCTGTGCATCCTTAGATACACCCTGCTTCCCTGGGCAGCATTCTTTAGACTAATCACAAAGGTCGAAACTTGTCCTTGAGGATTTCTGTGTTGATGAATGTTTGAGGCATTAACTCCTTCAGTTCCTTACACAAGGTCTAACACAGACTTAATTTCCAGCTTAAGTCATATCTAGTACATACACCAGTTTCTGAATTTTGTATGTCCTTTGTGCATTACATCCCGCTTCATTTGCTTGTTATTATTAAAGTATGTCTTGAATTCTTGAAAATTAGTTGATGAAAAAGTCAGGTTTCTCTAGAGCAGGTTGCCTGAACTCTGTGCTTTTCTGCACATAGCCTTTGTCTAGGAGTCAGCCATGAATGTGGCAACGAGTCCCTTTCCCAGCTAGATCAGTACCCTAGCCTCTGGAACAGACTTTTTCTCCAGAGTTTTTGGCAGAAGTTTGTTTAAAATCATTAGTAAACTGGAGATTTCTGTTAAAAATAACCTCAGAATGCACTCATGCAAAATATTTTTTGATGGAGCCTCTGATGAGAATGCAGAAGCACAGTTTTAGAGAAGAAAAGCTTGTCTGGACTATTAGCTTGCGGTTTGTAAACTGTTAGACTAAACAATGTTTAAAATCTCGCTCCCTTTTCTGTTGCATGTCAATGGCCTTATATTCCTCCTTTGCAACTTCTGACAAGTGATTTTCTCTTCTCTCAGGTTTTGTGAGAGAAAAGCTGGAGGCAGTGGTGGGGTCACAGACACTTGCTACAGGAAGGAGACCACCCAGCTGAAATGGGCCAGTGACAAAATTGCCAAACCAGCACAAACATATTTAGTATTTCTTCTGATGGGACAGCAACTGGCCAAATCACTAACTCAGTGTAACTGTAAAGAAGCAGAATTGCTGACCTGTCATTAATATATTTAGCTAATTGCTGATTTAACATCTAGTAGATGGTAGGGTTGATGTTGTAAAATCACTGTGGTTAAAACAGCTGCAGAGCGAGGGTGGAGGGGTCGGTTGTCTCTGGGTGAGGCTGGAGAGCTGACTCCTCGGGAAGGCAGCTGCGGGATGCGGATGGCGTGAAGGGTTGCCTTTGGGATGGATTCAGAGCTGACTCCCCAGGGATGCTGAGCAATCTGGCTGCATAAATGAGAAAGTACAGAAGGTCAGAGGGTGCTGAAACTGAGAGGATAAAAGGGAAAATTGAAGACCTAGAGGTAGGCCCAGCAGAATTGGATCAGCACTGGATATCCCACTGTCTGGGAATCCACAGCTATGAAGGCTAACACCTTCTCCGGGCCACCTCGATGCCTGAGGTGGGACACCCCTCATGAGTGTGGACCCTAAGGGCCGACAGCTGCATCTTGCAGACACTCTTGAACCAGGAGACCTCAGGATTTTCGGAATGCTTGTCATGCTAATAACACCACTTTGCTAATATTTATCATACTTGCACACTGCTAAGTTTATTGTTGTTACATACTTGTTAGGTTTAGGCAAACATAGCTGACATAATTGTATATCATGATTTCCTTACCCCTGTAGTACTTGAGTTTACCGGGCAGTTTCTCAGAGTAGGAGATTGCAAACAGTGTGGGGTTGGAGCCTGGAGAGGCAGGGCTGCCCTGTGAAGAAAGAGACACCCAGTGTGTTCAGCCTGTAGAGCTGTCTTTGAAGACTGGAGGGGGTATCGAAGGGCTCTTACACCACCTCTAGTAAATCTACAAGGTGATCTTTTCTGTTTTTCACAGACAAGAAACTTCTTTCTGCCTTCCTGTAAGGAAAAGACATACTTCCCTAAAAGAAAGGAAAGAAGATATTCTGCAGTCACTGGCTGGCTGTGGGGAACTATCCTGCCTTGAAATTACAGTAAACAAAAAAAAAAAGGAATTGTACAAAGAGATTAGAATGGAGACAATGAAATTATTGTAAAAGGGGGATTCATAAAGGAGCAACCCCAAGAGAACTGGGTGAGAAAAGGGAGAAACTGCACAGAGAAAAAAAAAAAAAGAAAAAAAAGTTATTTTGGCTGCAGTGTGTCCAGTAAAATTATAGTGGAGTACTAAGCTGAGATCTGTATATCACTACTAAATCCACTAGATGACAGTGTGGAGACTGCATTCAGCCCCACAGCAACATCTGTCCTTTACAGGACTGTTGGCATTGTCTCACTGCTCTGCTAGAAAATCAAAGTTTGCAATCTGCCTCTGCTCATACCCAGGGGCTTCACGTGTGTCCACGGAGAGAAGGTGGTCTCAGCCGGTAC